GATGCAGAATGTTGCTGTGAATGTGGCATTGCAAGGCCTGCACCTCAGTTTTACCAAGTAGGTCCCAAATATTAAAGCACTGTAGAGTGAAACATAGATATTATGGTAATAATAATCGTTTTCCATGTGTGTATGAAAGCTGCCCATGCACTTTTAGAACATGGAAATGAAATAGTTCGTGATGCTCCCATGATCAGTGATGTACAAGAGAGATGGCCAGCTCTCTTTGACGTAATGGAGGTAAGTTTAAGCATTTCTTTAAGAGTGTTACTTGTTTTTGCTGTTGGGGAATATGCGCTACAACATTTAGAGATGTCACTGGTGGGTGCAGTTCTGGTGAAACTTCTAATGTATGAATTTGTGATTGGCCTGTGGTGTTAAAAAATTGGTTAATGTTGTTTCATTTCAGATAAATGCAGAGTTTAAGCGCATCACAACTATGCCGCTACAGTCGACGTTTCTGTCACAGCTTGACTTTCACTCCTCAAATCTGTTGAGGGTATTTGCGAAGCGATCAGGACAGCAGGGCACAAAGCTTAAAGACTTGACGGCCATGGTGACGGTAAGAACTTTTAAATATATCACTATAAATGGAATTAATAGATTTAAGTATCTATTAAAATGGTCAATACTAAAATTGTGATTCTGCATACCAGAAAATTATTTTAGATTTTTATCTGATATAAAGGTATCATAACCATGTGGTGGTGACACTGGGGGGGACAATATTTGCCTCTGTGAAAAGTGCAAAAAATATACACATCAGCCACGTATGAGCTCCACTTTATGAAAACTTGAGTCAGATATATTACAAGAATGATAAAGGATAAAATCAGTATAGTTTTGTTCCATCAGCAGGCCAATTCAGCCTAGCAATGCATGTTGTATAATTTCAAATTGTACAACATGCATAAATATGTCACTTGAGCTTTTCTTAGTGTCAAAACAAAGGAACATAAAACACAAATTCCAAAATCTGGTATGCTTGCAGGTCTGAAAGGGCCATGAAAATCTGTAATGCGCCCATAGTGTCCCACAAATAAGAATTTGTAACAACATTGTTTGTAGTTCTACATTCCTTAATCCCTGACTAGTTCTTTTACAACTCGAGTTTGATGTTTTACAGTAGTAATTACTGTCCTTTTACTGTCTTGGATTTGCTTGACACAATTTGCTGTTGTACCATTAAAATTACATTGTAGTTATTTGCATATTTGATGCTTTAAGTCCATGTATGGTGCATTTAAGGTGTACTTGGTTTCAAAGAGGGACAATATTTCTAGAATTAATATTGCAATATAGGAAAAAGTTCTAACTTGTAGTATTTACTATGCAGCTCTGTGCTTGTTCTGTTCTATTTGGTCATGTGACACTTGTGTATGTTCAAATTCTTGCATTGTGCATTAAAGATGCACTTAATTGCTTATCTTAATTAATCTGTAATGTAGCAAATTTGACAAAAAAGTTTCCAATGGAGAAATGTTAATATTAGACAAGAATAAAATACAATAGAAATTGCTGACTTTGTAGATGTTTATTTTTAAAATTAGTTTCTAATTTACATTGTATTATGATTGCACACTTGATGATAATTTTAAAAAATAGTGCTGGACGAAAGTGATTAAATAATGGTATAAAATGAATTTGATTGTGTTGGCATAAAGTGATCAAATTGTGCTGGAGTAACATAATCAACATGTTCAAGTTACATTACGGAAACGTATTTCAATACATTAGTATCGGTACAAATCAGTTGTATTGATTGAGCACAAACGGTTAATGTTGATTTAACTCAATTCAGCCATTTTCTCTCAAAGCAAACATTTTGTGTGCAACCACTGTCCACTATTGAATTAAGTAAATCCAACAGATTATTTTTTTCAGTGTATTGAAGTATCAAAGTTCGATACCCAGCGTTATTCGGACCCGTCTTTACACGTGACCCATGTTTTTCTTCAGACCTTTTTAAACTGATCCTGTGTTTGACAGAATGTGACACCGTGTTTGTGAGCCGTGCTCTTAACGGAGGTTCTCTCCGCTTGTCACTGATTTATTACCTTATCACCATATTCTGTATTGTGTGCTTCTGCCTTATTTGAGCCCTGACTTTAGCCGGACAGAGAAGCTACGGGGGTCTTAGATGTACACAGGAAATGAAAACTGAAGCTCTGATTTGTCCTTACTATGTTCTCGTCCCCCTGTCACAACGAGTCGACCTCAGAGCCTCTGGTCCAGGACGCCCAGGTGGCTGATGGGATGTCACTGAACACAGCCGGGGGGCGGCTCCAAACTGAGCATCAACACAAACACACTGTTGTTTATTTGGCTGCGTCCTGCCAAACCCCGAGGAGGTCGACACAGACCGATTTGTGTCTGGCCAGGCAGAGACGAGGGGCGACCACAAGAAACGGACTCTTCCTCAGCCGCAGCAGGTGCGGGACTGATGTTAGACTGCGGACTGTGTGGGTATAGGCTGAGGTCACATTCTATACTGTCTAATATCTACATGTTAAAATGCATCTGGTGACAGGGAAGAAACACGTATTTCAGGTCAGAGGTCTGGAACAACTGCCCTGGAGACTTTGCAGCAGTTTGTCCTAAAATCATATAGAAACACCCGTCACTGTCTGAGCAGGCCAGGACAACACATTTAATACGTCGGTCAAGACTTTTTGAGCTAACTGGAATCAGTGCTTCTTAAAGCCCAACAGCCTGTGTCTCTGCGCTTTACCTTATCCTGCTGCAGCCTTCACCTTCTACCTGCTGTGCTCAAAGTAACACACATGGTACAGGTCCATCCGTTTGCTGTGCTGACTCTGAAGGGACCGTGTGTCCTCCTCACACATGAGACTAATGTCATATGACCGGTCCAACACAACCAGCCGCGTTTCTGAAGGCACTAAGACAGCTCAGGTTTGCAGGAAAAATATTCTCCAGCCAAGCATTAAAATGTTTGCAAAGGTTTGAGGTTTAACATTTCCAGATTGTTCTCAAATTAAAAAGTGCGCACGTAGGAGGTGGACGAACTGCACCTCATGTCTGACAACTCTGTAAAACAGACCGAAGATGGGGTACGTTTTTCTCCAATAAATGTGTAATAAACTGTTCATACAAAGAACGTGGATGTAAAGAGTCCTGCGGGGTTTTCTCTTCAACGCTGCGTGCGCAGGATGTGACGCTCGACTTTTACTTTGAAGGTTGCGGCCGGAAATGTGCGCAGTTAGCGTCTTAGCTTGTTAGCCGCAGCCTGTGGAAGCGGCCCGCCACAGCCCTGTGAGCACGAACTTACACCCGGTCCTCGTCACTTTGTCTCCTGCCGCCCAAACCGAAGCGATGTGAGCGCGGGGACCGCCGCTGGTGCAGCGCTGCCGTTGGGATTCACCTCGTGGGAGGACTGGTCGCTTTTGTTCGCCAGCTGAGGAGAAGCGAGATTACACAGGTGAGTTCACAGAAAAGATGTGCAAACCACAAAACCACACCTGTTACTCCGATATTTACTGCACGGCCGCTCGGTGTGCAACCTGCAGGTGTTGCAGACTGTTACTGTTTGATGCAAAGCGAAATTCACGCAAAAGTAACTTTGGGAAGTTAAAAAGTTGAAAATAAGTCCCCGTAAATAGACCCGCAAGTACAGACGTGTAGACCTGCAGTCAGGTGAGGTCTTTACGGGTGTTTGTATCTCGTAGACAAACTGGTAGAGGCCACTGAGCCCGACAGGTCACACAGAGACCGTCATACATGTGTAGACTGACATGCAGGTAGCTCAGAGTCGTCATGTAGACCTGCAGGTAGTTCAGTTCGAGCAGACTGACCCACAGGTGTTGGTCTGGAGGTTAGAGACCTGTCTCTCACACCACCAGACTTTGGTTTGAAGCTTTATTGTCAGTATTTCTGTATTAACAATGAGCCAAATGACTACATGTCAAAGGTGAAGCTCAATGAATTTTCACCAGCTGTGCAGTTGTGAAGCTTTTAGCCCATTTTAGCTCATAGTTTTGATTGGACAGCGCACTGCACACTTTATGGTGGTGTTGATTTAATTTGAAATGAATAAAACAGCCATTTTGCTCATCTGTCTACACTGGGGAACCCATTAAAACAGCAAGGACGTGTCTCAGACAGGCAGTCTGCATGTATAACTTCTGGGAAAGTAGGGGGTGTTTTGTTATTGTGAATGATTTGAGAGCTGAGTTCTACCTTTAGTGGCCGCCCACATGAACTTCATGCTGGTGCTAGAGGGAGAGCCACAGGATTCGTCCTCGGAGGAGCATGAATGTTTGAGCTGAACCTGGCCATCGTCAGTTCAGTCCAGACAAAGCGATGGAGCGACTGGCTTCCATGTCACCTGTCGGAGCCTGGACTAGACTCTGGGCCCCTGACATGTGACAGGCCTCCACCTTCCTATACAGAATGACTACACACCACATTGCCACGTCGCCCGTGGTGCTCTCGTGTCGCTGTGTTTTACCTGTCTGATATTTTACTTCTCTTTCTGCCGTGTTCGTGGGTCTCTCTGGATGTTTGACCTGTTTTTCCTGCCTCTTTTGAGTCTCTGTGTTCTAGTTGGTCTCTGAGGACATTTTACATCTGTGGTGCTTTTGTGTTTCTTTGGTCTAAGCATCTGTTTTTCTGGTTTTGTTAAAGTTTTTTTTCTACCGTCTGTGTTTGTCTGAGGACATTTTTGCATGTTTGTTACTTTTCAGCTCTGTTTTTGCATTGTCTTGCCCATCAGTGAGGACCATTGTGCGTCTCTTTGTAGCTCTTTGTCTCATTTTGGTCATTTGCATGTGTTCATGACTGACACAAAAGTGACTCGGTGCTTACTCAGCTACAGTTCCATCACGTCCAGGTGACGTGTTAGAAAAGGGTTGTGTTGACATGGACATGAGGCTGGACTGAACTCAGCATTGCAGACTGACGGGCTGTAACAGTGGAGGAGGATCTGAGGGAAGGCGTGGTGACGTTTGGGGGGTGGGGGTGTTGACCTTTTTGTGAGGACTGGTTTTGGTGTGTACCATATGGGTTGCCATGGTGACAGCTACATGCTGGTGACGCCTAACGCCCACATTTGCAGAGCAGAAGGTGAGATGGTTGTTTTTCTTCTCGAGTGAATCATCTTGTCGAACGTAGATGCTCTTTGGCTCAAGGCAACGGATGCTGACCGATGACTGGCAGTGGCCTCCGTGTGCGTGTGAATGCTACATGTGGTGTGCACACGGTCTCGTTCTCACATACAGTACAGCCTGCAGTCCTTGACATGCTCTGCAAACACACACAGTCTGCACAGCCATAGAGAGACACACACTTCAGATGTTGTTTCACCCTCCCACGTCATCTGGTGATGAGCTGCTTATCCCCTCTTCGGTTTGTTCTTTTACAGGGTTGTCAGACATGAGGTGCACTTTTTAATGTGTGTGTACTTTTTAATTTGAGAACAATTTGGGGGGGGAATGTTAAACGTCAAACCATTGCAAACGTTTTTATGCTTGGCTGGAAAATCTTTTTCCTGCAAAGCTAATGATCTGTACCAATTGTCTGTTTTTGTTAACACTGATGTTGTAAAATTGGTATCAAGGTATTAGTACTGACAATTTTGGAACAATACCCAGTCCACACCTGTCCCCTCACTCTGTAATCATAAAACCAGCTCATGTTCAGGAGGGTTTCCTATGTGTACATGTACAGTACAGTGCCTCAGTGTGTATTAGACCCAGAACATGGAAGGAAAAGTGCCTGACACCTTCCTGTGCTGTCAAAACTAACTCTGTGGTCATGTTTCACATCAGTGGTGGAAGGTAACTACGTCCTGTTATTCAACTACTGTACCCTGCATCTTAAACGGTGAACGTCAACATATGGGCCATATCAAAACAGCACGAACAACCGCTGATAATACTACATTTAAGTAGGATATGAATGCAGGAGTTCTGCTTGTAGTGGGCTGCTACTTCTGCTTACTGCTGCAGACAGTGAGCCGACTCCAGTTGAAGCCTGTGGCAGGTGTGCTGACCTTTATGTGAGCGTCAAGCCTTGTTCATATAGCTGAGCGGAGGCCACCTGTGTCTGTGGTTTTGGAAAGCAAGGCAGAGTGACACCTCTGCACTGTAAACAGGCTGGTCTCGGTCAGCACCGTTGCACAGGAAGGTGCGGTTTGGAGGAAGCCCGTGTTTCTGTGTTTCTAAATGAATCAGCCTTTGCCCTGCCTGCTGTCAACAGGAAGTCAGACCTGCACACAGCGGCTGTCAGGAGCTCCTCACCCTGTCCGTCTGCCTGCTGACGGAGTCCATCACATCATACATCTTCTCCAGCTGTGACAGCTGCATGGCTCTGTGGACAGCGATATCTGCCTGTTCGATAAATAGATGACAGCTGAATAAACTACTCTTGGGTGGATCGTGAAGAATTCTGCATAGTCCTCTCTAAACATAGACTTTGATGGAATCAGCCTCTTCTGAGGACCACTAGACTTCTTTATTCACATAACACAGGTCTGTCGTGTTTCTGCCAGATTTTACATCTGTTTCCTCGTTGATTGTTTTTACTTTTATAGGTATGATTTTAAATGTAGCTGCCTGTTTAGGGTGACTTCCTGTGGTGGAAAGTATTTTTTACCTTTAGCTTGAAAAGTGCTCCATAAGTAAATTATAATTTACAAAGAATTATTTTTCATGTTCCCCTCAGGATGAACTGTAGTGACTCTGCTGATCCTCTGACTTTCCACCATCAGGTTGACATTTTGTGCGTCCACTACTTTGGTTAATGACTTGCTGAACTAATGCGATTCCCATTGGAATCGGCTCTTAGACCAGATTAGGTGCCCACAGTGCATGTGCTTATAATAACAGTGTATGAAAAGACAGTGTTCAGGTGTGTGTGGTAGCAGTGAACATGGTTAAACCATCAGTTGAACCTGCAGCTGCCCTCGGCTTCACAGAGTTTTACAATGAGTGTCGGACCACAGCTCTGCTGTCCTGGTTTTGTGTGGAACAGCAGGAAGCTGCTGTTGTCAGAGAAGACGCTCTACACAGCTGCTGTCCACGACCTGCTTGGCCTCTACACAGCTGCTGTCCACGACCTGCTCGGCCTCAACCAGCAGACAGAGCCGATCAGAGACCGGTTGGGGAACACAGTGGAGCATTTGGTAGCTCCAGAGCCAGAGGTTTCCCCTCAGGAGGTGGTGGAGACCAAACCCAGAGCCAACCCAGCAGAGGGAGCACTGGGCTGAGGCTCAGCAGGGGGACACGGACACACTGTGCACGGAGGAGCATGGTGCAGCTGCTGGAGGTGGAGATAAACTGTTGGATCACACATATCAGTTTATAAAGTGATGATATATCTGTGATGTGTTCACTGAAACCAAGTGGACAAAAACATCAGTTATTCCAGGTTTCATTTTTACTCACTTCAGTGCATCTGGTCAGTGATGGTCCTGAGCTCATACTGCTGGTTACAACACAGTATAAATGGTGACACTGCTGGGAGCAACACATCCATTCATTTCCTTCAACAGGTCTCACATTAACTGATGCACATAACAAGTGGCCTTTAGTCTTCATATCACTGGGCTCCTCTCTCCACAGCTGCCACAGTGCATGATGGGATCATTCCGGCGTCCCAGGCCTCGGTTTATGAGCTCCCCGGTTCTGTCGGACCTCGCCCGGTTCCACGCCAGCTCACCTGCTCTGCAGCTCTCCAACACCAGTGTGTGGAACAGGTCAGCTGCACCCAGATAGAACCCCTCTGGGGATGTACTTAAACACACATGTTTAAACACAAGTCAAGTCGTGATTAAAGAGCTAACATGATGCTGAAACGTTCAGGATGAGTCGCTGCTTTAAGGTTAAAGTGCAACAGCCGAGGACATCCAGGTGACTATTCATGAATGTACTGATGATTTCTACCACATAACTGAACAAACAGGTGAATGTTGTAGCTGCAGTGTGTTGGACAACAGGCATAGTCGTCCTGTTTACTGCAGCCGCTCTCAGCCTCTGGAGCTGTTGGTGGAAGCACACAGGCCTCACCGGCCTTGTCCTTAAAGACTTTTCTAGATCATGGTTCAGTACCAGTAACATTAGACAGGAGAGCAGCAGCACGGACCAACATTGGCAAACTTGTTTCTTCAGCTGAACCTGAGTAAACCTGATGGCGTGGGTTGTCTTCCTGAAATCTGACTCCACAATCCCAACAACACAAAGCACTGATACTATCTCCTGGTGTTTAGTAAATGTGTGCGAGTGTTGTGAGTTCAAGCATCAGGAGTTCAGGTGCTGACCTTGTGAGGAGGAGGAACCGGTTAGGTTGGAGGTCAGAGGGCTATTTCACGGAAGCTAGATAGCGGATTGTCTTTCTTCCTCTCTCTCTCTCTCACACACACACGGTGTGTTTTCATTCCTTGTGGGGACTTTACATTAACATAATTTAATTTCCTGTAGACTTAACCATAACCACACACACGCGCACACAGCCTCTATGGGTCATTACACAAAACGGTGGAAGTGCTGTCACTGAGCTTATTATTACAGACACCAAAACCCTTAAAGTTGACACAATAATCACATTATGTACACTGGCTGTGTTAAACACAAAATCTGTGCTTGGGATAATTTAAAATGCCAAGTTCAAGGAAATGTCTTGTCACTTTGATCATCAACCTACATCTGGAGCCACATTGGCTGTGTTTCATTCACAGTTCTCAGTCTGATTCATATTTACACTGTGAACTCTTCATTTCTTAAGCTTCATTCCTGCACATCAGAGGAGCTTTGTACTGCTCTGGTACCCCATCTGCTCTGACTGAGACATGAGCATGAAAATGAAGAATGTAGTCGTCCCCAGAACTACGGGTGCTTGGTTGGGACAAACTGTACAAACAGCAGCCTCCAGTTTGAAGCTAGCGTTAGCTGACTAACCGTAAACGTGTCAGTCCAGTAGAAGCTCTGGCTCCTGCTGATGTGACACAAAGCTCCCGTTTCTCCCACATTAA